CATGGGCATGGATGGCACTGACATGATTTTGGTAGACGTCAAAAAGAAAGAAAAAAAAGACCAAGGCTGCAAGGCCAACAGAAAGACACAAGAAGATGGACGATCATTTACGGCTTTTGGATTGGTGTCTCCCCCAATGGAAGCTGTGGAATCTAGGCCTTCTGCTTCTCGACGGAATGGAACCAAATGATGCAACAGCTGGGTTCTGTTGGTGCATTTTGGTGTCGTCTCCCCGATTTTTTTGCGCTCTTCTCTTGTCTCTTTTAGTGGACTCTTGTACAAAACAGTGAGCACCGACGTAATCGGCAGGGCCCCTTCTTCCATTCGAAGTCACCTCAAGTCAATGCCTAGGTACCTACCTACAGCAGCCACCAAAAGATCCAATTCCATTTACAAACCTTGGAACTCTCCTCTTTCTCTCTCTCTCCGCCCTGTCTCTCTCTCCTCCTCTCTACCTATCGACCTAAGCTATCTCCATTCGCATCTATTCCTTTAGGGTACTAAAAACCTCAACGGCTTCTCTCCCCTTTTTGTATATGCCCATGCCCCTCCACCCCCGAATTCTACTCCCTGGTCGTGCCTCAAACCTGTGACGCTATATCCAGCCACTGTCGTCAGTCGTACCAGAGCAGCCCGCTTCGGGATCTCCCGCAGAACAGCACCTCCAAGTTGCTGGGTCAGTCACTCACTCACACATTCACAGTCAGTCAGTCTGTCTGTCTGTCAGTTTCAAGTCGATATTTGCCCGTACGCAAGGGCACGGCTCGAGACTGGAATAGATTGATAATCTTTTCCCTTGACAAACACCCTTATTCAGTATCTCTCTCTGTACCAAAGAATCGACTGTCCACCTACGTCCCACTTTGATCAGATCTATCCAGGTAAGGAAACCTCAAGCACATTGCATCATGGATCGCATCACATCGCATATCTCTCCTTCCTAGCAGAAGTCAAGATATGCATATTCTGTCTTTTCCGATACCCTTGGGTTCCTTCTCTCATGTTCTCTCATTCACACCAGCCATTGCATTTCTTTACCCTCCCCAATATGGACATGAATGTCTCTGGTCTACCTAGTATTCGACCGGTCGCCTAAAAAAAAATGTGGTTTTTCCGCACTAAACACAACACCATCCCCCACTCATTCACTGTCCCGTCTCCGTCTCCTCGAATGGCTGGCCATAGCACATCACAGTCCAGTCGGTTTTGACGCCCTGCATCTGCTAGAGCGGCTCAACCCCACCCGCGATGGCTCGTCTGAGGATAATGGCTTTGAATATGGCTACCTGAGCCCTGAGGTACCTTGCCTTGCCTGACTTGACTACCTTACCTACTAAGGTATCCATGAATGAATGGGTGGATGGGATGGTTGATTTCGAATGCAAATGGACCCTCCCTCTCCATCGTTAGCCCCTCACTTATGAGTTGACTGCCCACATACCAGCACCCGACATCACACACTTGTTAACCGCCGCCTTCTACCAAGCACAAGCCATATCTCTCAGGTCCTTATTTTGTCTCTACTCTTCCTTGTGCTCTTCTTCCTCGTTTCTGCCCTCGTCTTGCTGTTCCTCTGTCTAAAGGTGTCGATATCTAGCTCCTGTCTTGTATATCGTCATACCCCAGGATAGCTGCAGCTCCCGCGAACTCAAAAAAAAAAAAAAGGACCCCCAACCTCAGGTACAAGCAAACCCTTGGAATAGCGCAACGGCCACCCTTCTCCAGCTACTTCTACCGCCCTGACAGAAACCAAGCGTCACTCGGGCGCCATGGCTTCGCTTGATCTGAGACCCCTTGCCAGCCACTCACATCTTGTTCCATTCCGCTCCCGCGGTATCACCTCCAACCTTCAAAATCTTTCCTCTCCTTGTTCAAGCTCAAGTCCAAGTGGCTCTAGCTGTTGAATCCTTGTCTTTATTTGTTTCGCGCTCGCTTGTTTGATCTCTCATGTGCCAGAGTTTCTAACCCCGAGGCTACCTAGGTTCTATCATTTCTCCTCTCCGATCATTCTTCTCCGCGGACCCACGCTACTACGACCCCGGAGCTTCTCAGCACTGTCTCGATTCACAACACCTACCTAATACGTTTGTCCAAGGAATATAAACGAACACTACAGCCGAAATGTCGCCAACCGAGGAGAAGGTGGGCTTGATCCTGACTGCGAGTCGAGTACAATCGCTAACAACCCCAACCCCAGAGTGACGATGTCGATTTCGGTGACAACATCGATATGACCACTTTCGAGCAGATCCTTGAAATGGATGAGCCAGGCGATTGTGAATTCAGCTCTTCTATTGTATTTGGCTTCTTCGAGCAAGCAGAAGAGACTTTTGACCAGATAAAGGAGGCATTGTGAGTTGAGAACATAAAACGCTGCATGCATGGTTGGGAATACTGGCTAATTTCTGACCTCGTTTCGACATCACTTAGGGAAGAGGAAGATCTTGATAAGCTCTCGTCTCTTGGACATTTCCTCAAGGGCTCATCAGCGACTCTGGGACTCATCAAAATCAGGGATGGCTGCGAAAAGATCCAGCGTTATGGCAAACACGAAAAGCTCGACGGCTCCCCTGAAGATGACTCGGAGGTTTGTCTAAAGCACATCAAAGACGCTTTCGAAGCCGTTAAAACGGATTACGCCGAGGTCGAGAAACTTTTGAGGCAGTACTATGATTCAAGGGAATAACGCATTTATTCCCATCATCATAAAGCCTACTAGGTGTCGTGTTCACGATCAAATGGAGGCAGTCTTTTGCAGTCGTGACTTGCTACTTGGCTCTCGTCACGGAACCTCAATAGGAGCATTTTCGGTTCAACAAATACTTGTTGTGTTGGGTACATTCAGAAAAGGAAATGGCCGGGTTCATCGAAGCAGATACCCCAGGCCTTGAAATGGCTTGAGGCTTAGAGGACGACCCGTCAGGTCAATGTCAAACATGTTGGAGGCGTTGCGAGGTAGTGCGGAATGGCATCGAGTGTCTTTCCACCCCTCTTTGAATTGAACAGCCTTTTTGACACGAATTGTTGAGAGCAGAAGCAGACTTTGTAGATAGATTTGACAAAATGCTTGGGATTGGAGCAAAAGGAACTCTGCTCGTAACGCTACTTGGTTCTCTGACGAATTGGCCAAAGCCTGCCATTCAGCGAGATCTATCTTCACCTTTCTTTTTTGTCTATTGTTGTCGAAACCACTTATCGATTAGTTGATATGTGACTGATTGACTGCATCTCTGACTCTGAGAGCTCTGACATTGGTGGGGTAATTTTGATACAGCTTGGGTTACTTCGATCTACGGATAGAAACTCAGTTGATACGAACACCTGACATCATCGCGGTGTGACAGGCCAACGTCAGATACGTTGCACACGGCGTGTTAGTCATTTCACAACATTTAGAACTGCAGGGTATGCCTGACTTTTGAATCATCAATTCAGCCAGCCGAGTCCCACGATACATGCTTGTCGTTTCACTTGCTGACCTCACCTAGGACAAGACAAGTTGTAGACATACTGTCACATATCATCTACTCGCAGTTGCACTTGTACACTGTCGCTGAGACTGATAGAAACTATCCTGGAAAGACAAATTCGATATTTCAGCCATGCCGCCGAAACCAGTCAGGACGTCTCCGACGCATTTTGTATGCATCCCCCTGGCTGGGCCGCAGCTTGCTAGAAGCTTGGCTGCCTTCCGCACAGAAGTCACGAATCCTTCTGGCTTTGGCGTTCCACCGACTGCAGTGCGTCCACCCGGCACGATGCATCTGACACTCGGTGTTATGAGCCTCAAGGACGAGGGCGTTGAGCAGGCCAGCGAGGTGTTGAAGAATTTGAAGCTGAAGGAGTACCTTGCAAGTGCTAGGGCTGGAACGACATCGACTGAAGAGGGGCTTTCGATAACTCTCAAGGGCTTACATGCTTTTCAGAACGCCGAGAAGACTTCGGTACTGTATGCGCCACCCGTTGATACTGAGGGAATTCTGCAGAAGTTCTGTGAACAGATCAAGGCTGCATTTCAGGAAGCTGGACTGATGGCCAAGGAGGACAGACCATTGGTACTCCACGCAACTGTGGTCAATACAATCTATGTCAAGGATGGTCGCGGGAGGCGACGAGAGAAGTTGACGCTCGATGCCAGGGACATTGTCAGTTCATATGATGACTATTTCTGGTTGGAGGACATGCCCCTCGACAAGGTCACGCTGTGTCGAATGGGGGCAAAGAAGATTGAGGGGACAGACGACGAAGCTTATGAGGTAGTGGCTGAGGTCGGGTGCTAATCCTGAAGCCTGGAGACTGCGTGAGCATCTTGAGGCGAATACTGCTTCGGAGGTCTTGGCCTGAGAAGCCTAGACATGATTTCTTATTAGGCAGCTGGATAGCGAGAGGAGCGAGAAATAGACAGTTGAAGCAACCAGTCAGATGAGCAGAGTTTTCATTAGGTTGACGCTTGAATCATTTTGATACTTGAATACGGATTACCAACCATGTATCATGATGCTTAAAGGCTGACAGACGGGTAATAGACCACATGCATAGCATTATCGAATCAAGGCAGTAAATAGAAGCTCCGAGATAACATAGAGGCTCCCTTCACTGACGGCCTAGAATCTGCTGTAAATTAATGTTTCAAATTCATATTAATCCATGCCATGGTAAAACTCGAACTATCCCATTCATCTCACTTCATATCAGTGATCCGGGGTCTGATACTGGGTTCGCGACAAACCGAATTAGCGCACCTTCAGTGGGCGGCCGCCTAGAATTCTAATCAAACACTCGCCTCTAGGCATCAAACTACGGAACCAAACCTAACGTCATCTCTTCAACATAACACTTGCGCAAATCTCGAGCATTGCGATCCTATACAGCACTTGATGCCAGCGACAATGCGGAACCAGCACCGCCTGGCCTCGGACCCCACGACCTGACGATCCTCTGCAGTGGAGGGCTATACATCCGATCTTACCTTGTAGCAAAAGCTCCGCCTCGTTACCACAATGAACACGTCTGAAAAGCGCCGTCCAGGGCCCGGCACCTCACCTGCCCATACCTTGCGTACCGGCGCCTCGAGCAACAATCGAAATAGCATGCCTGCTATGCCTCCCCGAGCTGCCATGGCCTCCAATGCCAACGCGAACCCCGAAGAGACACTTGACACCACCGGCGGTGCCCCGCTCAAAGAGAAGGAGAACGCAGTGACAGGCAGTGGGAGCACAAAGGAAAAGGACCGCGACAAGGAGCGCAAAGAAAGGAGAGAAAAGAAGGAGAAGAAAGAGAGGGAACGGGAACTCGAGGCTGCGTTGAAAGAGAAGGATGAGAGGATTGCGTATCTGGAGAAGGAGATGGGCATCATGGAACGAGAGTTCCATCGCGAATTGGATAAGCTGAGCCAGAACGAAAGCGAAACAGCCACATTCTGGCAAGCGAAGCACAGCGCCTTGAATCAGCAATATTTACGGACGGATACTGAATTACGACTGCTACGTGCTGAGGTTGAGGTTAGAGAAGGCGAACGGGAAGAGCTTCGAGAGGGCTGGGAGGTTCTGCGACGAGAGCTCAAGGAGCGAGATGACGAGATTCGAGGTCTTAGGGGACAAGTGCGTGGTCTGAAAGAGTGGGTAAGTAATAGCACAAGGACAGATGGGCAAGAATGCGATGAAGTGTTTGGTGATGGAATGGCAAGGTTAGGCAATGGATTGCAGAACTGGGTTATTGTGAACTTTCGCAAGGCCAAGATAAGTAAGTCATCTTCTCATTGAGGGCACCGTTGAAGTGCTGACATGTGCAGACCTGGAGGCCCTGGATGAAGCAACGTTGGCGGAGGTCAACGATCTTGTGCCTATGTACGAGGAGCTTGCATCTACACACAAGGTTTACCTCTTGCAGTCTATTGTGTCAAAGATATTAGTCGAGATGGTCTTTGACTCCTACTTTTTCGGTCTATCAGAAGCGCAAACACAACAGTTTCGGCAGCTGGAAAAGCTCATTTCTTCATACGGTGTGTAGTTCACCGCTCATAAAGGTTAATCGCTAACCTTTGGCAGCCGATTCCGACGAAGCCATTAACCAATGGCGCTCCTCTACCCTTTCACTTCTCCGACGAGATGGCTTGTCTCTCAAGGAATCAACATCATCCGTCACAGAAGCTATCCTAAGCAGAATAACCCGTATCCTCGACGCCCTTTGTGGCACATCACCGTCCGAGGCTCGAGATAGTGGGCTACGAGTTCTTGTCAACAATTCAATCGAGCTTGCGCGCCTTGTCGCTGTTCAAAAAGCCGTCCTACGCGTCAACATGCCCACGGTTTTACCACATCAAAGGGTCGTGTTTGAGTCAGAGACAATGGAAGACTTGGGTGGTGAGGATGAAGAGTCCCTGACCGGGAGGGAGATCTGTTGTGTTGCTTTTCCTGGAGTGATAAAGCATGGCGATGAGCATGGTGGGCATTTGCAATATCGTAATGTGATTCTGAAGGCAAGGGTGCTGTGTAGCCCTGAAGAGGGTTGACAGCACTGCCTTGCTTTAATCTTATCAAGCCAAGGCCTCGACGACGGCCTTGGTTGCTGGGCGATCTATAGTCCATTACTGGCATTTGCATATATACTCTTGCATCTAACATTTCGGCAAGGTCGCATTCCACGCGACATACTCGCCGCCTCTAAACAGGATCTTTTGAAGAGATCTATTACAGTTGACTGACAGGAGTCGGTCTTTAGGGATAGATTACTATATTAATGAATTACGAATATTATTGTCATAAACTTGCCCTGGCCAATGATCGCCTAATTAGAGGTCCGGAGCGAAGTGGTATGGTTACACGAGATAACGATCATCGATCATGGCAAGTATCCTGAAGATGCACGTTGGTGAAGAGAGCTGGTCTTGGTCAGGAAGATAAAAAGTTTGGAGCAATTGATTCTACAACATTACCATTTCCCAAAGCATTGCTGAATTTCATAAATGCATCGTAAGCTTCTGCTGAGCTCAGGCACGATACTTGGGGGACAAGTCGAGGTGTATCTGTATTAGTAGTATCATCGTTGGCTTATGGTTAGACTACTTGGAACATGCCACCATCGCATTGCATTCCTCGTTCGGCATCTCTCCCAGGACACTTGTCTACCCTACCCACATAGGGCTGATATCCGCTTCGGCAATGCATGCAAACTCATGCGTTCATATTACATGCATTCACTTCACGGTTAATTGAGTTCGGTATGGGGAATTGGAATAGGATATTCGTATGGCAGCCTGCTTGGCGTGGAGATGTCTCAGAGCGGCATGTCGCATTGGCGGTTATCATGGTTGTTTGACTCATAATGGAAAGCGTGCTTTGTATCGAGATGGTGATAGACCGGGTATTACGCTGTCGGTGCGTGTGTGTCGAGAGCTGTTGGTAGAATCGATGAAGGGCTCCTCGCCAATTCCTAGGTGTATGATCTGATATTAGACCGAAGGCCGAGCTTATTTTCAATTTCTGTCCATCGTCAGCTTCATTGCGTGAAGCGCAATCTCCAACGTAATTAGAATTGTGCATATGGCGATGTCCCCTTGCCATGGGTGAGACTGTCAGACGGGTATTCTGATGGACAAGGGTATATCCTCCTTAACCTGCCAAGCGTCAAAGAGCTTAAGAGTCACCTCGACACCATCTGATTTACGTACCTTGTCTTGAGCCTCAATTTTGGGGGAGTCTGTGTTTCCCCGCGCTCCAGTTTCCTCTAGAAATAGCATCATAACTATTCCAAAGGCCGTTTTGCCAACGCACGTCGAACTCATTGTCCCTTTCCAGGATCATGGACTGCAAAGGCAATGAAGCCATTGACTGTCTCCGTCTTCAAGCGACCCGTGAATTGGTGTCACTCACACTCTGCGTAGTAAACCCATCACTGGTGCCCACGTCGTTGGCAACCAAGACGCCCTCACCTCCAATTGGTCGCTCTGCCTGCAATTATGCCGACTATCTTCGGCTTCGTCCGAGGCGTGTATCATTCTGTGACAATGGCATGCTTGGACATGGTTCTCTGCATGCACTGAAGCCATGCACGGCTGCACTGCATTCCCAATGATTTCAGTGTGTTATCGTTCATCACGCTGCTGATGTGTTTGAAGGGTGATAACGAATAGGAACCATCATTGACTGGTGGATGGTTCATATGAGGTTGTCGACGGGCCGGTCCTTCGAGGGAGATGGTGTTCGTGCTGACGCTCCAACTTGGCGTGTTGAGTTAAGGTTAAGAAGCTCGAGTTTCCGGTTTCTTTTGTTCTTCACTGTCCATCCTTCCTCTACTTGCCCTTGTCACAACAGATCGAAGGCACTGCATCTCATTTCCTATCGTCCATTGCCCTGTCTTCTTCTCCCCGTTTGCCCATACCAGTCACGACTCGTGTTAGCATCTCAACACAAACTTGACAAACGTCTATCTCCATCACAAACAGCTCCCACATTCTTCTAGGCCAGTTGACCATACCTTTTACCATCGCTGTCTTCCTCGTGAAAATGGGGGACCTGGCCACTGATATAAATGGCTTCATAAGTCAGCATAACGCGATGAGAGGACAACGTCATACACGAGATACTATCCCTGCCATGATCCCAAGTTACTATGCCCCAAGCTTGATGCTCTCAGAAAGAGATAACAATGGAACTCCTACTCAAAGCATCAGCATGTCAACCGCCAGCAGCTCGACATTCATATCTTCCTGCTTTGACAGGCCGACTCCCCAAACCTCTTCGGTGTACACGGAACCTCCACCAGTTGCCTCTGTACCGGAATCGCAACCATATGTGACTCCGTCATTACTCACATGCGAGTTCCTCGGCTTCGGGGACTGCGATGTTGTGTTCGACTTGAACGATGAATCCCGCTGGATTGCACATATTGCAGGCTTCCACCTTCGCAACATCTTCCCAACAGTGTGTATCTGCTGGTTCTGTGACCGTACATTCAGAGCATCCTCCCACAATCAAGCAGATTCTGAGACTTGCTATCGGAAGCGCATGCATCATATAGCGAAGCACTTTCGCAACGGTCTTTCGGGGCGGCAGATGCGTCCAGATTTCTTCCTTCTTGATCACTTATACCAGAATCGGCTGATCAATGAAGATATGTATCAGAGAGCAAGAGACTATCACGAAGCCTCTCAGGTCCAAATTCAGAACCTGTACCCTGCCGGCTGGAGGCCAGATCACCACAATCAGGAGCCGGCGGTGGTAGAAGCCAGTCGGTCAAGGCATCGGGGGTCGTCAACCCGAAATCGTGCGCCGCAGGGTTACTATCGCTGAGTGGAGAGTCTCGTCACTCGACGATGCCTTTGGTGACTCTAAACCCTCCAATATCGTGACCCCAAGCATGGCTAAGTATCATGAAAGGACCCGAGGTTGTGTGTGGCATTTTTCTTTTCTACTTGTGCTCTCGTTGGTTGACTTGTGATGTTGCGAGGAGGCCTTTGTCGTCCCATTATGTGCCCAGAGTATCAGCTTGGAACATTAGCTTTTTTGGAATAGTTTCTTGTGAATATGAGATCGCAGATCAGAAAACGAGAGTTCTGCAGCTAGAGATAAACAAGCATTCGTTGTTTGGGTGCGAGTATGTCGATGGTTCGTGGGGATCAGGAACATGTTATACCGAGTATAGGCTTGTTTTGATAGTGGCGGGTGAAGGCAGACATTTGTAACCCAACTCCACACGAGGAAATTGGTTGAATGATTAACATTGAAAATGAAAACAAATGTGAAAAGGGGCCGTGAACTAGGCAGTGAAGATGCGTGAATGAGCGTGGCGATGCCTTCCCACACTATGATTGGACTAGAGTGAGCAAGAGTCATCACTTACACGAGTTCACATGCAAAGGCATATGCCCAGGCTCGAGTATAATCTAGTGATAGTGGTGTCATAAATGAAAGTAAATTGTTACAATTATTGGCGACATAATTGTGACAAGAATGTCCCCATGTTTTATTCAGTCATTGTGCTCGCCTCACACTTCCACAGGGTATGGCATGTTTGGCTGGCCTCATTCACGGCTCATGCTGGTGCCCGAGCATAGCCTCACAAGTTCACAATCAAGGCGAGGTAAGAAGACTTAGGGCTTGTTTTCTGAGTGATGTAGAGTCTTAGGTAAGTCTAGTATATCTTTGCAAGTCTTGAGACCAGTTTAGTCTTACACCTTGGGATCACATCAGAAGGTTTCTTGCTCAATGGGCATAACCTAGCGGAGACACGAAGCCAGTGTTTTACAAGTATGTAATACCGAAATATATGCCCGAATTTAGAAATTAAAAGATTATCGGCGTGCACATTGAGGCCATCTTGAAAGTGCATGCGTAAGGTGTTGGTGTGAAATACGGTGTTATTGTGCGAGGACTTTTTGAATGGCTGAACTTGGAAGTAATATATATTTCACATTCTGGTGCCTATATACTTTCTGATCTGAATCCCATATTGGGACTTGCCAAGTTTCCCTGTGTGTTGGAATGGAGGTCTCGGCTACGCGTTCATGTACGACGTGAAGTGGAAGAGATCCCTACCCATTTATGAAAGTCTCAGGATTGTTTCTGCTCAGGAACATAATGAGAATTGGTGAATGATGAAAAGATTGTATATAAAACTGTATATCAACAGACTGTTGCAAGGTGGCGTCTCAAGTCCTACCAGAGACTCAGGCGGTCTAGCTCTTTATAAGAAAAAAGACCGATTTCCGAGGCATGCCTGGTATCTACATGAAGCCCAAGGTTCCAAGAGTAAGGAATGACCTTTTATTTGAGAAGTATTGTTCCTGTATCGGCCATGAAGACGCGATATAAAAATGCCTCACCGAAAAATCATTGTTGGCGTATTGGGCGATATCTCTAAATATTTGCCGAAAACGAAGAGGGGCAAAGAAAGAGGGAGTCGAGAAGCGTAGTTCACCATCTCAGTCGCTCTTTCTTGTGTGGTGTTGCGACAAAAACACCAAAAGTGTATCGCGAGGTTGGGGTATATGAAATTATTTGGTTTCTCGGTCAAATATCATCAGACAACGTGTCCGAGTGGTTAAGGAGATAGACTTGAATTAACTTCAGACATCTATTGGCTTCGGCCTCGCAAGTTCGAATCTTGTCGTTGTCGAAAATGTGTTTTTTTGCATTTTCATGCCCCGTTGTTGGTCGGCCCCCATGACATTTTTGCTGCGAGTTACACGCGACAGGAAGAAACAGTGACCGAGTCTTGGTCTAATAATCATATAGGTGTGTTAATTTCTACTTGTTACCACCAAATGTACGCGGCAATTCCTCCTGGTCGGCTGGATGTGATGCTTATGGTGGAGAGGTGAGATGATCCGTGAGACCCATACCTTGGCGAATTTTTTTGTACTATTTGAACTCACGCAAGTCAACAGAAACTTTCTTCCACACATAAAAACTTCCATTGCATTAACAAATTGATGATCTTGACACAATGAAGATCATGGTCATCAACTTGAGACAGGACAAGGTTTGTCGCAGGCCCCACATTTTAACCTTACCCCACGATCGACCGTTGGAATCGCATGGCACAAGCCACGATCTGTTCACTGACGGAAGGTACGATCAGCTGTAAATGTCAGGTATACGTTCACATGTTTAAATGAGTATCTCCCTATTCAGTTTGCTCTCCCTCCAAAATCGTGCATGACTCCCTCCACGAGCGAGACCCGGGCCGAGGCATCAGCGAAAAGCAATGACTATGTACTGTATACAACAAATATGCTTGCACGAAACTCCCTTGACAAACAAGAATGAGGCTCCAGACGAGGAGCCTTTGTGAGTTTCTAGCGATGGCCATTGCGTATTTATAGCCGCGATTGATGGAGTGCGCCAACCCGGAATATATGCAAAAGTGTGAGTAGCATAAGTAGAAATCAAGATGTGCATGAAGGGCACAACTGTTCGAGGTCAAGGGTATCTCCCCTGCTGGCGAATACAGAATCGCACTGACCGGGTACATTGAAAGTGCTCTCGTGCACTGTATGGCCAATTCGCCGCTCAATTCGTGGGGTAACTTCGTTTCCAGACATAGAAAGCTCTGGGCTCAGAGTCAAAGCCAACCAGAACTACAACATTACTGCCACAGGATGACAAACAGCAAAGCCTCCGAGTCAGACTTTTAATCTTATCTGAAAGCGAAAGAGATATGGCAGATGGTTCATCGTCGTAGCTGGAGAGCCGATCTCGAACATCGCGTTATTCATCTACCATCCTGTCCACATTCCAAGCTTGTATGGCACACCAAATATCGCAGGCAAACATGATATAAGGAGAAAGGTTCCATGTTACATACCAAATAAAAGCGACTGCAATCTATCCGGAGCCGGTGCAAAACCTACATATCTTTTCGAGGTTTAGGATGCCTCTATCCAGTCAGCACTTCGCATGGCTCTTTTCTATCATCATGGCACATCATTAATGTCACATCTAATCACTTCTGCCCATGAAGCTTATTATCTGCAACAACTGGTACAAGAGTTACTCTTTCCGCCTTATATATAGTATTGTAACTTATTAAAAAGCCTTGGAATTTCGGCATTTCTTTTCATTTCACCCACATTGTAAAACAGCTATTATTCGAGAGTTTCTTCCATTTGGCGTCAAGACCTTCCTTTACCGGCTCTTGATGCCCGAAGCCCGAGAGTGATTCATTGCTTAGACTAGTTTTAGACCATTTTTCATCCGATATTCATCTTTTGAACATCTTTTTCGAGTTTCCTCTGTTCTCCTTTTTTTCCCTTTTTGCCTTTTTTGTTAACCCTCTGGTTGCTGTCCATTGTCCTTGTGAGATGCAATTGGGGTAAGGAGTTCCCGGAGGAAGCGCCCGAAGGCGACGTGTATTAGAGATGTAGACGATGTAGACTAGTTTCCTCCCAGGTTCATTTGCGCCACCTTAGACTCGAGCTTCTTGTTGTTGTCCTTCTTTCCTCTTCTTCTTTTTTTTTGGTGACCCGCTGGTTGCTGACCCTCCCCTTAAATCATCAAGAGTTAGTCGAAGATCAGACTTGAACTTGGTGAAAACTCACGACGCGGATAATAGTCTCAGGAGGCGCGACCGAAGACCACGCCAGAGACAATCATGATATTTCCAGCTGCTGACAGTTAGTAATTGCATTATTTTGCATAAATTAATAACTACTTACGGAGCGACAAACAAGTTTCTGCTGTGTGATTTGCCTTACGGCAGACAGAACAAAAAAGACGTCGGGGCTTGGGAGGAGGGGGCCTCGCCCCTACCCCCACTGGTCCCCCCCCCCTTGTCCGGAGGATCCTATGTAGTGTCAGTACTCTTGGACAGAGGGCGTCGCGGAGATATCAAGGGGAGATGGGGAAGAAGCCGTGGACAGGAAGGAGGGTTTCGGAGTTGTATACGTACGGTGTTGTTTTCGGTCTGTATGAGTAAGAGTCAGTATGTGTACTGGCAAGAGTCGGTTTTCGTTGACGAGAAAAAACCCAGTGGAACACTCACGACCGCGGACAGAAGAGCAAGATGAATGTAGCAAAAAACTCACGGTAGACATTGTGACGCGACACTCGTCATGTCTCTTTGAGATGGGTCGAGCTTCTCATGTTGAAGATGATGGTTGTTGCATTTCAAGGAGGCATATGAGAGCTGTAAGAAAGATGGAGATCAACCCCTCACACGCACGAATGGAAGAAATCACCCCCAGGTCGCGGCTCGCGTGCTGCGGCAGGTAGACTGCTCCCGCCCTGGCAACCTGGAAGGCAGCTCAGGTAGGTAGGTACTCGAGGGTAAAGGAAGTTTGGCACCGGCAGGCAGATGTAAGCCAATGCACCTGCCCACCAGAACTTGCAGAACGCAATGGGAGACAAGTGCGAGCCTGTATCGTAGGTAGCCATCAGACATAGGTAGACTAAACTTAGACTATCTCTCCTAAGTTTAGGATAATTAGTGCCTAAATTTATAAAACTATGAGAAAGATTATTAGAACTTAGGGTGGATGGACTAAGTTTAGAGTAACAGGATGTAAGAATAGAGGGTATCAGCTGCGCCTATCATCGTTGCCGCCCATTTCCCCCCATCAGCCCCAATATATGTTTGCGCCCCATTTCGAACAACGGCCGATGCCTGACGAAGCGACCCCTGATCTCCCTCCGAGGGTGATGTCCCAGGAGCGAGACGTCAACCTTTTTATATCTAACATCGTACTTGACCCACCGCTCGAGGCCAGGCACACGGATGCCCAGAGTCGGCAGCGCAAGAAGTGTCAATGTCGTACTGATATGCTGAGAATACGGGTCCCGCTTACGTTCGACACCGTAGATAGCGGGGAGTGTGTATCGAATCTTTCCTGGAGCGTAGTGCTTGAGCAACTTCTCCAGTCGAGCCTTTCGTAGAGGAGGCAGCGCTTTGCGGAATGCTTTGGCATACTCTGCACGATAGGGGTGGACCTGCCACATAGGCCATCTATTACGTCCGATGCGTATCCAGAAACGGCCATCGAACAGCTTGCATCTCGCCCATCCCTTGTGACTGAAAGCCTCCGGGGCATCCGTGAACTCCTCCTCTGTGTTTAGAGGGGGTGACAGGTATGACGGAGGCAAGTACAGCTTTGCAACCGGAAGGGGTTGGGTTGATGTATAGGGGGCTCTGGAGAGTAGCCATTTTATGGATGTTCCTCTGACTATGGGATCGAAATACACACCAGCGGCGGTGAATGCTTTGGGTGTCATATTGGTATCTGGAGCCATGCCGGGGACCAGAGTATTGACAACTTTTTCGAGATTTGAAAGGGGCGGGAGATGGTACTCAGGGGTGACAAAGTCAATAAGTTTGCGGACCGCGATGGTCACGACAACTCTCCGATGGACCTTGCGTAGTTCGTTATCAGGATGTAAAGAGCGTCTCTTGAATCGTTTGTTAAAGCTGCGCGGCTTTGGAAACTCTACTAGCAAAGTTCCCACATTTGGATCAAAGTTTTTGATGACGGCCTCCCGAATAAGATAGCGGCTAGCTTCTGCTTCTTCAAGCTTGGTTCTCTTTTTTGATCTCTTAGCTAGAGAGAGGATAGAAGGCTTTTGCAAGGCTTTTGGTAAGGCGTGGTTTCGAACCAGATGTCTGACAGCGTTTCGTGTTGTTAATGTAGGGTCCTTGTTAGTCGTATCTTCTACCCAAGGGATCTTATTCGCTTCACAGGTAGCAATCAGTCTATCTTTGTCAAATTGCATAAGAGGCCGATATATCATGACACCGCCATCCTCAACTTCCAAGGGCTTCAGGAATGGAACGTCGGAGAGTTCACGAATCTCCTCGGATCCCGGGTACGATTGAACGAGGTCTTGAGGGAGATCTTCCAAGAGATTGGCCTTTTCGAGGGTCAACTCGTCACGAATTCTGCGTCGTAGATGTTTCAATTCTCTGAGAGCTGGTCGAAAGCTGAGTGCAGGGGTTGATCTGAGCTGGTCGTCGAGAAGGCCACTCTTGTAGACACCGTGTAAATCATAGCATTCGGGTATCGAATTAGCCTCTCTTATTCCTTGCAGACCTCGGTATCCATGCCCTCCAAGTAGTCGCATGAGGACTGTCTCGTACTGATCATCACTGTGATGTGCAAAGAAAAGACTGCTGGAACCATGATAGCTGCAGTACCGGCCTAGTGCGCGATACCGGTAAGTTCGAGCGAGGCCCTCGACATTGGGGAGTTGACGAGGGTCGAGACCTTGACGTTTCTCGTCTCTCCACGAGAGAGCAGAAACACTGGCCTTGATGTCAAGTTTTCGCAACTCTTTGGCAACCTCCGACGCCTCATGGTCGCTTCCGTCACGTAGTTTATGGTCGACAACGAGAGCTAGAACACCATGGACTGGGTTATCTGCGACTTTCATGCCACGGAATGAGCGGACAGCTTTGGTCATGAGAAATGCGAGAGCCATTGAATCTACGCCTCCACTGATAGCCAGTACTAGAGGAGAGTTAATCGCATAAAAAAGCTGCAAAGCGCTGGACCAATTACCTATACGCTGTGGTCTCGCAAAGCGAGCGGTTGGAAACCGCGGACGACAGACAGCGTCGACGGCATCTTTGAACTCGCTGATCTGAATTGGCCGAGGGGCATGATGAAATACACGAAAGGCCGTAGTCATTCCATTATATTTCCGGCTTTAGCCTGGAGCACAATTGGCGGAGCAGGACTGAAGGTGAGGTTGATGCGATGCTTAGAGGAAGGGAAAAAGTGGTGATGTCGGAATTCAATTGAAGCTTGAGTGGGTCTGATTGCTTGAATTCCGTCCGAGCTAGTGGGGCCGAGCGGGTGTTGTATCACGACGGCACGGGAGGGTTTACGAGATGTACTTGATAACTCAAGAGTGAATGATTAAAAGTCTAGGGAATTAGGGCCTTGATCTTGCGTTTCAAAATATTTCGGTAAGCTTAGGATAAATCCAGGGAAATGAGAAACTTGGGCAAGTCAAGAGTATCCTGTGATAACTCAGATAAACCTAGATGACTTCAAAATGAATGCAGGAATGGGAACCCAAGTTGTCAGCTCCATCATGGCTGGGAACTGCTCAGAGTGCATTGACGGTTGAGACAAAGAAGAAAATCGCTATCCCAGTAACAAGACCAAAGCACTGCCAGTATTGATCTTGGCATACTGTCTCGCTAAGAAACACTGTGAACCAATCCAAATTGATCGATCAGTTTCGCTCAAGGTACCTAGTGATCGACCATAGAATCACAAGCTTCTAGAAACAGCGTCGTTCACCCTGTACAACGGTCAACCGCGTTAGTGCACTATAAACCAGCCACAGATACCTAAAGTTAGAAACAAGACACGACACAAGAATTAAACTTTTGATAAGGTACCTAGGTAAATAAACAACAATCGATCGTCATATCCCGTCAGTCACAGTCTGTCTGTCAGTCAGTATCTCCTCAGTACAGGCCTCCAATAACGTAGCAGTCAGCGACAGGTTCGTCGTGTCCCGACAAAGACTCTCACTAAAGCCATGCGGGTAATAACTAAAGAGAAGAGACCCTCATCAACCCCTGTCACCGTCTCAAATGATTCGCCTCCAAGGCATAAAAAGGCCCTAACGAGAAAAGAGCAGAAACAGCCTTGCCAGTTTGAGTGGAGTGTGAAATGCATGTTTTGGATCATGGCCCATTACCTTGAATCCTCTGGTTGTAGCGGCCTCTTGTTGTCCTCGTGCCACCATCACAGGTTATCCTTGTCTCTAGGTACTGTACATACATACCTAAGGTCTACATCTGCATGCTCCGTACATCCATTACACACACAGTCACGTATTGCCCTGTCTCGTCTTGTTTATTTTCACTGCTTCCTCTCAACTTTTATCCTCATCTCGACCTCTATCTCCCACTGTCGCGTTTACTGTTTCTCGGCCAAATTGTCTCGTCGCTCCGCAACAAACCAAAACATCCCGCCCCATGTGATTCACAATTTACTTGCATCTTTCATCGCCTATACCAGCCTCTTCGTTAGCTCTTCATTTACCTACGCTCCGCCACAGCCGCATTCCTGAGCCTCATATACCCCCTGCGCGGCTCTTAATTATCACCTTCGCAATCATTTGACATCGAAAAAGCCCTCATGGTGTCCACGCTGGAGCCTCCAACCGCCTCCTCCGTCTCCCGCCGCGGTCCCTCCTCTGTCGTCTCTCGTCGATCTCAATCAGACTCGCGATCAAAACGCTACAACCGATCTCATACCGGCGGAACTTCTCACGCTCTTCACAATGACTTCCCGGTCTTTAGTAGTGGCGATGTAGAAATCATAGTCCGCGCGCGCGATACGCCCCCCGATGCTACTCCCGTGCAGAACAGATATCTTCTGCATCGCCATACTCTCACGCGCTCGAGTGGTTTCTTCGAGACCAGCACATCAAGCCAGTGGTCCCGCGCCCGCGCACTACCGGCTGGCAATGAGCTCTCCCGCATCGGAGAGGATGGGGAGCCAGATTCTGTCAGTGCAAGCGAAGTCAGCTCAGTGTCGCAAAGAGGAAGCATCCACCCACCCAGGAGGAGATGGCGATACGAGCTAGACCCCAAATCTGGACCAAACGATATTCCAATGCTGGTCCAACGAGACGAATCGTCGCGAGATACTACACAATCCTTGTTTGGTCCTGCATCAGCTCCACCTGCAGTCAGTGCAAGAGACGCACGCTCTCAGAGTCGCTCCAAACACTCCCACTCACATTCGCGATCGTTGTCCAATTCGTCAGCCTCAAGTGGTTTCTTTCGCTCTGTCGCCAATCTCAGTCTCTCCTCCAACCACCCACCTCCGGCCCAAGAGCTCTCGCAACCGGACGAGGACCTTTTGCGCGACTACGACAACCTCTTTCGCATCTTTTACAATTACCCGCCCAACCTCGATGGTGTCAATGTCGCAGATGCCTATGTCCAATGCAAGAGCTTGCTCAACCTCGCCGACCAATATGACGCCCTTGCTGTGGTGGGACCTCGGGTTGATCACCACATGCTGCAGTTCCAGTCACGGCTCTGGAAGCAAATCGCCAAATACCCAATCTCATATCTGCGCCTCGGGTACCTAGCTCGCAGCAGGGTGATATTTCAGGAAGCCCTGATTCACGTCGTTGGGCAGTGGCCGGTCGGGGAACGCAGCCTGCGTGCAGCCCTGCCCGACATTGTCTTGGATATTATTGAGGACAAGGTTGATGAACTGGAAGATACGGTCGGTCGCATCGAGGGACGCCTGTACCGTCTTGGGCTCACCAACAGCCGTGGTGAACGTGTCGGCCCAAGCAACAACTACCTCGACTGGCTGTCCATAAGCCTCTTCCGCCAATGGCTGGCCGACAACACCTCTCCGCAGCCGCCTCCCGATCAGCGACGCAGGACGACCTCTCGTGACGGCGGCCGCAGCGTCGCCGCCTTACCCCCCGCAGCCCCGCCGTTGAATTCTGTAGGTCGTGCATATCGCCAACTCGGCTCGAATAATCCCGCATCTTTCCTCGGCCACGATGACTGCAAGCGCTTCCTCAAGCTCACCCCGGAGCTCTACAGCCGGGAGAACCTCCGGCGATTCGAGAAGCGTCTTGATGAGCTCAAGTCGATGGCCCGAGAGATCGTACGGCCCCTCATGGGCAGCAATCTCGAACTCGATATGGGCGGTACCTCACGCACCCCGGATAGTGTCTCTTACCTCACCTGCATCAACGTTGGGAACCGAGACCTGCCTTGGGTAATGGAGGATCAGACAACGGTCGGGCTCGTCACCAACTGATGTGGGTGGGTGAGTGCGTTATCAGCCCTGGATTGGGATGAAAGCGGTGGTGGTTGCGTTGATGCAATGCAACGATTTTTATGACCTGATGTTTCTATTTTTTGGATTCTTGCGGATACCCCATGCTTGGACATACTGTTGAAATTCCCCTTGTGTTTGTCTTATGTATATTCACTTCTGTTTGGAACGATATAATCAACTGACATCTAACTCGGTATATTCTATATAGACACGGAACAGCCAGACACTGGTTGGACTGAGGACAGTCGATATGACTCGGATGGAGCTGAGCTCTTTAATCAAATTGACAAGTGTTTGATATATTCTGCATGCGTTCTGTGGTTATATGAGCATTTCTGTGTGAACTGTCATTCATGCCTGACCTAAATGGTGCCATCCCTCGAGACTGCTTCTGCAGTGGTGTTATGAATTCTGGCGACAGAGTTTAGTATGTTTATCTCGAAGTATTAAGCCATCTCCAAGGCCATCCCACTTTAGTTATACTGAACGGGCCCGAGTGTGTTCGTAGGTTGGATCAGCCATGTCGCCTTATTTATATTCAAGTTCAATCTTCAAAGTAAACAGTTCAGTAGATTGCAACAGTACTTGTAGACATTGGTCTTTTAGATGACATATTCTTATTAATTAGGGTATTACATGAAGAGACGTTTGCGTGACCATCTCATATCATGGTATAATCTGAACAATTTCCTAGTGGTATCTATCCAAAACGACATTTTTTGCAAACCCGCTAAACCATCATCATCCAACGAGCCCAAGTCATGAAACGCCCTTTTCCAAGCGTGACCCGAAAACTCCACCAGACGTTGCTAGTTATTCAATACGCAAAGATATGTTAAAATGGTGAGGAGACTTAAGCGCTCTCCTTGTTGGCTCCACTGGCCACACTGTCACGACGAGCGATGACAGCAGCCAGGGCGGTATCGTTATCATTCTCCTTCTCGTCTTCCTCTGCAGAAGAGCCAGAGGCAGGGGCAGGAGGTGCGGTGGGAGCATACTTGCTTCTCTGGCGAATCTTGGCACCATAACGGTAGAAGATGAAGGGGATTGGTGCGAGCACAGCGGCGACACAGCCAAGAAGGGTGGCAGCATATTGAATGCCCATACCGTCGAACATTTGACGGGCAAACAGAGGGAAACCAGCACCGCAGAGAGATCGAAGGAATGTGTTGCCTGCGATGGCGGAGGCGGCGAACATGAGGTATGCATCGACGAGGTAGTTGAGAGCCTGGAGGAAGATGGACATGAGACCGAAGCCAGTGAAGAGACCACTGAGAGTGGGAACGATCCAGTGAATGTCCTTGGTGTATCCAGTCCTAGCAGGCGTTAGTCTTCAGCCAATTGCTGGGTTTGCGAGTAACTTACCATCCAAACCAGAAGATACCAATGGCAAAGGCAACACCACCAGCCATGATGTTAGGCAGACGCCATTCGGGAATAGGAATGCCATTGTTGGCAGCAAGCTTGCGAATGTACCAAGGCTGCTGAGCAATGACAGTAGCACCAGCGATAAGCTGACCAACAATCATACCGAAGAAGCAAAGGCCGGATTGACCAGAGCTGAAGCCGTGGACGCCAACAAAGACAAGAGGGTAGGCAGTAAGGAAAAGGTAGAGGAGTCCATAGATGAAGCTCATGTAGATGGAGAGCAGAAGAATAATGGGCTCGGTAAAGAGCAGACGCAGAGGTCGGGAAAAGTTCTTCTGGACGAGCTCCTTAAAGTCAACCTCGATTTCCTCTTGCTTGGCATGGATACCCCAGTTCTTAGTGCGACGTCGCAGATCAGCCGCCTTAGCGATGAGAATGACAGGCGGGTAAGTCTCCTCCAAGAAGATGATATCGAGGATGAGAGCAGTGAAACCCATGATAGAAGCAAGATACTCGGTCCAGCGCCATCCAAGATGGGACTCAACAATGAAACCGCCGATGAAGGGAGCGAGAAGAGGACCAGTAAAGACGGACATGGAGAAGAGAGTAATGGCAGTTCCTCGAGTACGGTTATCAAACATGTCGGAAAAGACAGCGGCGACGACAGCAAGAGGACAAGCGCCAAAGAAACCACTGAAGAACCGACACAGGAGAATAGTCTGGATATCCTTGCCAGTTGCGCAGCCAATGGAGAAGACAGAGAAACCAAAGATGGAGATGAGAATTGGAAGACGACGACCGCGCAACTCCGACAGGGGAGCCCAAAGCGAGGGGCCGAAAGCAAAACCAAGCACGTAAAAGGTCGTTCCCAAAAGTCCAACCTCGTTGCCAACGTTGTACTCGTGAGCAACGACCATGGTCGCAGCAGAGAAAATGGAGGATGTGAAGGCAGATGTCATGGTGGTAAAGCCCAAGACAGCAGCAGTGATAAGCTTCTTCCTCAACGGCCAATTCTGCGAGTGCAAAGGATCATTGGGTCCATCGAATTCAACAACATACTGCTCCTGTTCCGGTAGAGGAGGAGGATATGGCTTTCCAGCGCCAAAGTTGGGGAGAGGCTTTCTTGAAGCTCGCGACGCTGTGCGGGAGCGAAGACTGCCTCCGACGGTGGCATTGTGTTGACTTCGAGCTGTTTGTATTCTGCTGAGCTCTGTAGGATGACGCTCGAGGTCGTTCTGGGTCGAGATGCGGCTGATGCTGTTGTATTGGCCAATTGAGCGGCTTCGTCGACGAGCCGAGTTCTCGGAGGATGATGAGGAGACGGTTGATGCGGAGATGACTCGTTCTATTTCAGCACTGTCGCGCTGTTGATATCGCTGAGGAGAAGCAGCGCGTTCAGCGTCTAGCAACTCCTGATCGACGATATTCCCCGCCATCTTGACTGTGTATTTCGCCTTGGGTTCAGATCAAGAGGCCAATTGTCGAGAAAATTGGAATTAGTGAGTCTAGATAGATGTGCGGGCGTAGATATATGTATAGCGTCTACGTCTTGTCGCTGTAAGCTGCAGCTATGACGCTATAGGCTGGCGGGAAACGGCGAGAATGGATGGATCGCGACGCTAATGTGGTGATTGTACGAAAAAGGTCAAGCCGAGGTCGTATGCAGGTAAGACGTTGAGAAGTTCGAGTCAGAGGAGGAGGGAGAGAATTGACTCGATTACTTTGGAGTATGATACAGCCTGTATCTAATCTAGAGAGAACAATGAGACAGAGCAGAGCAGAACAGAACAGAACAGGGAGATCATGATTCAAGGGGTGATGCCATCTATAAGTAATGACAAGGTCCGATCCACTCCACTGTAAACAAAGTCCCCAGTCCCAGTCCCAGTCCCAGTGCCAATCTCTTCCAGAACGAAAACGAGATCCATTACTAACTATCGACCCAACACAAGCACTAACAGTCCTCAATCCCTGGCAACGCAGAAAAATCTTCTGCTCGGTACCCTCTTTCAATCGGAAGAGGTCCACTTGTCTTCGGCATCCACGCTCGGCACCGGCGCCGGGACTAGGCCCGAGCTGCAACAAGGGGTCGTATATCCGATAAGAGCATACTATATCCGTTCTGATCCTCTAGCTGATGCACGTTGATTATTCAGAACACCCGCGTTATGACTCTTTTCTCTGCGGATCATCTCGGTAAGCAAAAGATTCGGCCGTGTCTCAAGCCAACGGGGCCGAGATCCCGTGGATGGATACCAATCTATTATCGTAAATTCCATGGAGTCTTGTTCTTCATAATCAGCTCCATTGTTGGGCTTCAAAGGTTCCAAAATGGCCCTGCCCCACTGGTTCCCCTATGATACCTTGTAGAGATCCGATACTTTTGAATGGTTGTATTTCCAGATTCCCTGTAGCATTGACCAGCTCGTTTATTTAGGTGCCCCTGAGTTTATGAACTGTATTTCACCGAAAATTTGTCAGATGCGAGAATTGCGGTGTCAGTCTGCGTCTAACCTCACCTCACAGACGACGATCATGCACATGCTTTATTCAGCAGCTTTCAAATCCCGTTATCTTACCAAGACTGCATATGCACTTCGCTCCCTCGCGCATGTCGTAAAATCAACAGCCAATGGAGGGAGCCGGCCGAGCCCTCTCCCGTAGTGGTTCCACCTTTGAGCTTCTGGAAAAGCTTGGACAATGCAAGGTGATGTAACATGTTCGGCGTAAGCGATTCCCTGTCGCTATTCCCTTTTTAATGGCCCTTTTTCTTCTTCACCTTCCCTTGTCACTCACGACGAGCCGTGGTTTACCGCAAATAAGCCGCATTGTTTTGTTCATGATATTCCGCTTGCTACCCACCGAAGCCTCTCGATCATACGACCAAGACCCAAGATAAGGCTTTCGTATAATGCTGGTGCTACCAGTAAGAAAAAATAACAGAAAATTCTAATCCCATAATATTTGTCTTTTACTCCAGGATATATCATCGAACGCCCCAACCATCATCAAGTAAAGCTGTCGCTTCTTCGAGACTCAACCCCGCCGTCTCAGGATAAATGCGCCAGACCAAAAAGTAACCAACACCGCAGATACAAGCATATAACACGAATGTCCAAGATGGGCTCAGCAGATCCATTAGTGGCAGGAAAGTCAACCCAATGACAAAGTTGGCTGCCCAGCTTGTTGATGTTGCAACTCCACTACCGAGCGATCGAACAGCTAGAGGGAACAATTCACTCTGCATCCATGGCACGTTACCTAGACCGAGCGCATACGCAGCGACATAAACCATAATGCTCACGAGGATAGTGAGGGCTGCCATCTGGTGCCCTGATGTAGCGGGCGGCTCATCGGGTGTGGTGTTGACTCCTGCCGCCAGCGACAAGAACGAGAAGCCATAGGCAGACAACAGCAAGCCAGCGATCATGAATGGGATCGAGTATAAGAGAACTCTCCTTCGGCCTATGCGATCAACAAGTCCAAGCGCAGCGACTGTGCCGAGGAAGTTTGTAACGGCGACTACCATAGAGGTAAGCGTTGGGCTTTGGAATCCAATAACTGTGAAAATGGTTGCGGAGAAGTACATGAGTGAATTCTATAGATCGTTAGTTTCTCGTAGTATCCGTAGTTCACATCATCACTTACAAAACCGCAAAGCTGTTGTAAGCCTTGGAGTAAACAAGCAATAGCCAAAGCTCTTCGGTTTCTCCCTTCACTGATCAGAAGCTCCCATCCGCCAAGCCACTTCCAACGGCCAGATGCTCGGAGATCGCGCAAGCGTTGTGCCTCGTACTCGTCCCGCACTTCCAGCTCGATCTCTTTAATAATGACATCCGCATTGTGCTGCAATGAATCGCCATTGACTCGTCGTATAACTTCCTTTGCTGTGCCGGATCTGCCGACTTTGACCAACCATCGAGGTGTCTCAGGCATGAAAGCAATCATGCTCCCCTGGACAATGGCAGGTAGAGCGCCTAGACCGACCATCCACCGCCATCCTGTCTCCGCGTGACCGTAGGTCGAAAAGGCCCAACCAACGATGTATGCGATAACCTGACCCAGCGTGATGAACATGATGTTCAGCGTCACCAACCGTCCACGATGCGCAGCGGGTGCTATCTCGGCTATGTAGAGCGGCACTACGAAACTGGCAGCACCAACTCCCGCACCGATGATACACCGCCCAGCGACCATGATGGGGACCGTCGAAGACCATGCTTGTAGAAGTGCGCCAGCAACAAAGAGGATGTCGGCGTAGAGGATAACGTGCTTACGTCCGAGTCGGTCGGCGAGAACGGACGAAAAAGGAGAGATGATGAGTGCAAAGAGCGAGGTGGAGGATGTAATGATCGATTTGTCCATCGAGGTCAATTCGCGGTTCGAGAGGGATGTGCCTATTGAGACGAGGGTTGCGGAAACAACACCTGTGTCGTCTAGTTGTTGTCAGCACGATTTTGAGGCCAAAACACCATTTGGTGGTTTCTTACACCCGAAAAGCAGGCCGCTGATACCAGCAGCAAACGTCAAGACCAGGACAAATAAGCTGGGCATTCCACCCTCTGTCTTGCCAGCTTCGGCGGGAGACCCTTGAGCAACATCATATTCAAGCTCTTCTTCGTCGCTGTGGCCCGCAATCAGCGGCGCTTGGGAGCTATCCATTCTGTTGCGCTGGGAGGTGCCGTGTTGATTGTTTGAGCAGCGTTAACACAATTCCATGAGGCTGTGGTTGGTGGTCATGAGGAACTAAGGAAGTGAGAGTCGTGGACCTGGGGTCCTTACCTATGATGGCTGATCAGCATCCCTGGTCACATGGGGTTCTCGCCGAGACGAGGTGTCAAGGTGGTACATTAAATATCCGGGGTTCAAGAAAAGTTCAACGTCCTCAAAAGTCTAATAATTACTACAATTCAAGGCTTAATTTAGGCCTATGCTATAGAATAATGGTGAAGAGATTGCTCAAATCTACTGAAAGCATCGTAGTAAATTCAGTTTGTCATCGACTGTTAACCTTTGTTATCAATAGTTCATAGACACAAAGTTGGGAGCTGTCTCTTCTTTTCTGGCACCATCAAGAAAATACGTGTAAATAAAGTAGCTCTCTAACATCCGCTAATATTAAGTACCGACAGCTCCGGCATCCATTTCCAGCACTTGGATCAACATTCTAATTGATTCGCCCTTGATATCATCCACATTCGACCGCTTCAAAACTTGGCTCAACTAATGAGATTCTTGTTCTTCAGAAAGTAATATCCGTGCACAGCCGCCAATCCCAAAGGCTGGAGCACCAATGGAAGTCGATGCTTCACGTGTCTGCTCATAGACTTGGCCATGACAGCCTTGGGAGCTCCAGGCGTATACATCCAATCTTGCAGCAATCCCCAGGTAAGTTCCTGAACTGGAAGAATTCGAGCAAACATGTCCGTTTCGAAACTCTTGATCGCCTTGTCAAGTGCTGCATCATCCTTGTTGGCAGCTCCGTTGATGGCTTTGGCAAGTTGCATCGCATCGTCGAGAGCTTGGTTGACGCCTTCGCCTGCGTAGGGTGTCATGAGATGTGCCGCGTCGCCGATCAAAGTTAGGCCTTGCTTGTGCTCCCACTTGCTGCCAATGGGAAGCATGTAGAGAGAGCGAGGAGCGCATCGTCCGTCAGCCAACTCTAGTGCTTGCTTCAGTCGAGGGCCCCAGTCCTTGTACTTGGTGTTGAGCAATGCCTGTGTTGTCTCCTTCAAGTTGTAAGGATCGAAGCCGCAATTCTCTGGCTTCGCCCAGTCTTCATTGTCGGTGACATAACCGCAGTAGATGTTGAGACTACCATCGCCCATCTGTTGGATCGTTGTTCGGTTGCCATCTGTGCTGGCAAAGACACTTCCACGGTTGACCAATTTCGTTAACTCGGGAGCATTATTCTCGGCGTCTGTGACTTCAAGCTCGTGCATAGCGATTCCTGCGAACTTGGGGACTAGGGTTGGGTCAATTTCCTTTCGAACTTTACTCCAGGCACCGTCGGCACCGACAATGAGATCGAAGCCATCGACTGTTGTATGGTTGAAGAAGAGTGTTCGGCCCTCGACCTTCTTAAGATGGTGGCCCCATTTGATCATGCCCTCGGGAAGTGACTGGGCCAGTATTTCACGGAGCTTTGAGCGGTCGATCTCAGGGCGTTCCTCGATTTTGTTGTATTTGCCGTCTGCGTTTCTGACGAGGTGGTATTCGAGGTCCTTATCAACGATTGCCATGTATTGTCCGTCGTAACGGGCATGCTTCAGGAACTCGTCGAAGAGTTGGGCTTCCTTGAGGGCTGCAAGTCCAGTTGCTGTATGCAGGTCGAGGGTACCGCCTTGGGATCGGAAGTTTGGATGGGCTTCCCCTTCGAAGACTGTGACTTCTGTGCCTGCAAGATGTAGAAGTCTTGCCAGTAAACAACCTAGAGTATGTGAGTGGGTGTTATTGAGTAGTTGGATGAGAATCATTACCAGCTGGGCCTGCACCAATGATTGCAATCTTGCGGTTACCCATTGTTTAGAGTGTAAAGATGGGGCTGATAGTATGTGAATGTAATGTTCGAGTTCCTGTCTGTTTATTGAATATCTTCAAGTGATGGGTGTCTTGGCATTTAAATAACCCAACTTTGAAAGCCGCTTCATCATAAAGGCTTGGTCTAACATCAACCCAATACCTACTAATTCAGGGTCTCAACCGGAGATTCAGCGTTTAGATTACACTCCGACAGTCAAACCGGCCCCTAAGTTCAGCCTCTGTGACGCCTCATCAACTGGGTTTGCTATCCAGCCTACGACCTGAACCGCGACTAAGATGACAGCCAGCCTATCACGCAGTTTCTAGCCGAAACAACGTTGCAATTTAGCGGTAAACTCCTGTAAACGCCGTTTTTGGCAACAGTTACGATGATGACAGGGCTCAGTGCCACATTGTGACGGGCTGGGGCTATGCTCTTAGCGCCTCAGCTCGAAAGGCATTTCCCTTTATGAGAGCATTTCACATCAAACCCGGAACAGAATGCCGCGACGGCCCCAGGCGCTCAGACACTCAGACACCCTGAGGGACTGTTAGATAAGGAGACTGGTAAAGATGGGTGACGTTTTTCTAATCGCCTATGAATTGCGTACAGTACTTTCATAGTGTTAGTGCTGACATCCAACGGTTTTGGAGGTTGAATTATCGGAGATGGTGATTGAAGCAAAAGTCCGACCCCGGTTTATGCAAGTCAACGGTCAACCACATCAAGTAAATGCCGTTGGGCCTTAAAAGTCTCGGTCTTTTGTGAAACTCGGGTGCGAATATTTGCTTTGTATCCGAATGCTGCGCTGCTTCGATAATCAGCTCTCAACCACTGATTCAGGCATTGCCGTGTCAGAAAAGTTATTAATGGATGCGTGGACTGGCTGACGGGTGTTACACAGTCTCTCCGGGACACAAGAAAATATCATATCGTTTGTTGAAAACACCATGAAAGATGTGAATATTATGATTATCCAGTCGTAAATCTCAGTACCTAAATATCTCTGGCATTTTCCTCTTCATTGCAAAAGCCCACGGAAATCTACAATTTCCATACATGTGCTTATGTCCCAGATCAAAACGAGGCGTCCCCCAATGTCAATGAACCATCTCAAGCTGCGCCCTCTCACATCTAAACGATTCCATGCCAATTTCTCTCCCATCTTGGAATAAACCATCAAGGTGGCATGTTTCGACTTCTCACGCCAAGAGATGCTAAAGATGAATCTGTCAAAAAGTATGCCAGCTTCTAGACAGTAGTACCCTTCTACCTGCTTCACCTTGAAGCGCTTCACTACATCTCCCTCCTTCGTGTACAGTGTAAGCCACTTGTCCCATACAATCCTGCTACCATCTGAGAACTTTCTCGAGTGATTCGAGTTGAATTCCATCTCTGCAACTTTCCTCGAAATAGGTCTACCATCGACAGCCCAGTATTCAGAAATCTCCGCCAAGTTGTTACAAATATACACAATGCCATTTGTTGCATGGCAGCCATGATCTTTATCCCTGTCTTCTTGGGTGATGGTGCATTCATATGTCAACTCCATCCGTTCCAGGTTCCATGTTTGGACAGTTTGTGGGACGTTTTCGAACAAAGGGTTGCTAAGTATCGTCAAATAGTGACTGCCGTCATTAGAATGGAATGGGTCGTCTGCAAACCCTTGTTCAGGGACCATAATTTCGCCACGTTTCGTTCCTTGAACGTCCCAAATATCCATCCAAGTCTGGGTTATATCCCCTATCTGGTCAAACATGACGTAAGTAATTAAGATAAAGTTATTATAGATCTGGAAGTTTCTCAACCAGTTTATACCGCCATCGCTGTTGAGATGAGTGTTTGTAAACTTGTTTATTAGAGACCAGTCATCAAGACTGTATAGAATAACGGGAGGTGAATCTATGTCGTCAGCACGGTAATCCTCTCCTAGGAGAAAAATGCCATTGAACACTGCGTATTCGGGGAAATTCTCTACGTCAGTGAATAAGAGACGTAAGTCTTCGATATCTATCCTAAAGATGTTGCACTTTTCCGCCGTGTTGACTGGTCGAGAGGTTTGAACGATGAGTGGTGCTGCCATATCGCTATCATAGTGGTATTTGTATCCGCAACTCCAGCCAAGTTCATCTTGCAACCTCATGATGTTTGATCCGGGGCTGACTCCGTGACTGATGGCATCGGCGGCTTGAGATATGCTCATATAACAGGACTTGAGGGAATGACGGGTTTGTCGAATGGTATGAAGTGGGTATCCAAGACGCATAAGATGTTCTTCCCAAACGTGGTTTGGTACACGGCTTTCCCAAAGTCCTCTTGTGATCAATAATGCTCTGAAGAAATCTTTGAGTTCCAGCTCAAAGACAATATACTGAGCGAGCTCCAAAGCATGGAAGACTCGGTCCGCCGAGTTGGCCATGTTTCTCGCTTAGTTGGCTCCAGAAATATGCAGGTATTCCGGTAGAGAGGATTGTGTGAGAAGGGCAACTGGCCTTTCTGCTGACTAGATAGGATTAAGCAAGAGTGCTGCTTTTGGTATGTATGATGATATCTGAGAGGACTAGACCCAGAAAGCATTGATGTTGTGCCAACTTAATCTTCAAGAGAACGCGCTCAAAGATTTATTGAGTGAGACCAGGCATCAGCCGAAATGGCTTAATGTCCTGATCGTATTTGCCTTCATTTGTCCCTTGGCCTATTGAATCCTTCATAGGCGCCTAGACTTGATGCGACTCTGGGGGTTTCTGTTAACCAGTACTGATTTCATAAGTTCTTTGCTTTCGCAAGGTGGTATTTGCGTATTTGCCATTGATTTATGTCAGGAGGTGATATGTGAATAGCAAACGAAATACGGAGTAAGGACAAACATATCGAGATATCTTGATTCTCACTTTATATACAATTTACAGACCATATCCATATAACGTAGCAGGATTGAGTGTATTTCATATCATATTCTCATTAAGACGTCTCATATCGGTTCTAGTCTTGAAGGATGACAAGACTGCCCAGACAGGTTTGGCGTGGTGGACACGGAGCCCCTGTTTGATGATTTTGTCAGCCAAAGCGCGGTCTAATTTGAATCTCACTCATTTTCCTTCTTCACAATTATCTTTTCAGCCTTACCCGACTTTTTCTT